CTAGTAGGAAGCAGTGACCAGTGGAGTTCAATCAAGTCTGTTGTCGTGTTATCAACTCACTGAAGGCAATTGGTGAACGGTTGCTCAAACTTCATGGATTGGTTGGAGTGGTCTATCGGTTAAGTGCTCTGGCGCAAACTGGTAGGTCCCGGGCTTGAATCTCATTCGCTGGGCGGGATGGTGGATGCGCACTGCTGAGGAGTCCCATAATAGGACGAAACGGCCATCCAGTGCTTCCAGGTTTCCCATGGTGGTCTAGCTTCAATTGACTCATGATTTCAACAATAAAATGAAACATTACAAGAATTGTAAATATCAGAAGGGGGTTTTTTGGCGATTTTAGTAATTTTATATAGCTGAAATCATGAGTCAATTGAAGCTAGACTACCCATGGAAAACCTGGAAGCACTTGACGGCCGTTTCATCCTATTGTGGAACTCCTCAGCAGTGCGCTTCCACTGTAAATATTTCAAAAAAACTACATTTAGTTATATGTATACCAGTCAACTGAACTGACTTTGATAATTGATAACCCAATACATATAAATACATTACTCAAATGAGCTGGGTATTTCTTTTAAAATCAATTCATCTTAAGTTTCAGTGTGGTTTCCATTAAAAATTAAACTTAATGATATGTTGGAATAGTTCTATAAAATTGTTAAATTAATTGAGTTAAGTATAAACTATGTTCAAAAACATAATGAACTGTTTATTTTGCGAAATAAATAAGATTTAACAAATATCCTCGCCCGCGACTTGTATCAACATATTTAACCGTTCCCGTGGAAGAAATTAGACAACCACTGAAGAGTCCCATACTAGGACGAAACACCTATCCAGTGACTCTTGGTTTTTAATGGTTGTCTAGCTAGGATCTTTCCTTGATGCAACCTATAAACGTTAGCAGTAACACAATTATTTTTCATAGTTTAAAGCATGAGTCAATTGAAGCTAGACCACCATGGAAAACCTGGAAACACTGGACGGCCGTTTCGTCCTATTATGGGACTCCTCAGCAGTGCGCATCCACGAACCCGCTGGCGCGAGATTCGAACCCAGGACCTACCAGTTTCGAGCCGAAGCCCTTAACCGATAGACCACTGAGCTAGACATTAACACCGTTGGATGCCAGCTCAGTGGTCTATCGGTTAAGGGCTTCGGCTCGAAACTGGTAGGTCCTGAGTAACATGGAGTCTGGTATTTACATAGATCAGTTCCAGTTGCCTTAAGATATCACCACAAGAAGACAAAAAATGATAAATGACAAAATAGTATCACCGGTAGTAGTAAGCATTGGGCGCAAACAATATGATTTGAGATGAGAAAGTGAATTATTAAGATAAATTACACATAAAAATTTTAGGATTCAAGACCTGAGGAAAGTTGAAGAGTAAGTAGATTTGCACCGTTGTGAATGATTCTGAATTTTCACCCAGCATCTCCTGAATCCGATTACGACAATCGGTCATTTTGAATGCATCAACAAGAATTGTTCGAACGATCCTCGACCTCATGAAATAACACGATCACTGTTTAATATCATCATCAGGTACTGCCTCACTCTTGATTCGATTAGTTCCCCATAACGCAGCTCCTTATTAAACATATTCTGTACATGATTCTATGAGAATTTTAGATAGTTTAAAAGTCATTGCTGCTTTTCAACACATCGATCATCAACTGATACTAAGTTCTGGTGAAAATCACAATTTAGATTGAATTAAATAAGTATGCGAAGCTTCCTTAAAAAAGCTTTTAAGAAAATTATCGTCACGGTCAAAAATTTTGTAACTTGTATCTTATATTAAAACTTAATATTAAGGAAATATTTTAACATTCATAATCTACAAAAGTATTGTTGAAAAAAGCAATGGTCTTTGAATTGGAAACAAATCTGTAAACGTTAGGATTTGATGAAGCATTTAAGTAATTGAACATTTTGGCGATGAAGAAAATGTATCGAACCAGTCTCTTTCTCTTTTTTCTAGTTCTATCCAACTTTTGTTCATTCGTCTCATGTCTGTCTCCATTTCTCAGAGTAATGTGCTCTTTGGTCTTCCTCTTCTTCCTTGGCCTTCAGGCTTCCATGTGAGGGCTTGTCTTGTCACGCACTTGTGTAATTTCCTCAATATGTGTCCTATCCACTTCCAGCGCTTATTCCTGATTTCTTCCTCCACTGGATCGAATCTGGTTTCTCCTTTCCCACAGTAGGTTGTTGCTGATAGTGTCTGGCCGACTGATCCGAAGTATCCTGCGTAGACAACTGTTAATAAACACCTGTATCTTCTGGACGGTGGCTTTCGTACTTCTCCAAGTCTCCACTCCATACAGTAGAATTGTCTTGACATTTGTATCGAAAATTCTGACTTTCGTGTTGGTTAACAGTTGTTTTGAGTTTCAAATGTTCTTCAGTTGTAAATATGTTGCTCTTGTTTCGTCGATCCGCGCATTCATATCTGCATCAGATCCACTGTGTTCATCAATGATGCTGCCCAGATATGTAAAGGTCTTTACAGCCTCTAAAGCTTCTCTGTCAAGTGCTATTCGATTGGTGCATGTTGTATTGTATCCGAGAGTCTTGTTTTTCCTTTGTGTATATTGAGACCTACTACTGCTGAAGCTGCTGCTACACTGGTCGTCTTCTCCTGCATTTGTTGTTGCGTGTGTGATAGAAGAGACAGATCATCTGCGAAGTCTAGATCGTCCAGCTAAATGCTAGCTGTCCATTGTATCCCATGCTTCCTCCCAGATGTCTACGTCTTCATGATCGATAGTGATCCATTCCTTGTGGTGGTAATTTTTGTGGCCCAGAACCTCCTGACATGTTGAAGTGATTGCCTCTTTTATCCCCTTTCAGTTGCTCTCCATTGTAGTTCCCTCTCCATTGAGTAGATCATGAAAGGATTGTAACCTATTGTTGAGGGCTTTCTTGAATTTGTTGAGTTTGTCAGTATCCGGAAGAAAAGCTCTATTAAACTTTCGTGATATTGTCCGCGCCGTTGTCAAATGCTTCTTAACACGGCAAATAATCTCCTTCTGATTTTTTTTCTTTTACATGCTTTTACACACTTACATTTCCAACCCAACCGTCAACTGATTCTCATCATAAGGGATATATTCAACAAATGACATTTTAAAAAATGTCTATTATCGTCATTTTGATTAATCGATATCTTTGAACATTTCATCGTTAAAATAATTATTCTGAATTTGTGATGGTTTTTTAATCATCTATCTTCACGAAACATTAAAAATTCATTTCGGTTCTAATCAGAACACGAAATCCATATTGATGTTTAATAATCTGATCCATTATAACATGTAGTTATTTTTTGGGATAATTGAGGTCAGTCAGTTACGATTTATTGAACATATAAAATTCTACGAGGAGATTAATTATGATTTATTTTCTGAATTAATTATCATTGACTCATTTGAAATAAATGAAATGTGACTGACAGTAGAATCAACAGCGTGTATTTCATTTTATTAGGGATTCGTTAGATCGATCTATCTGGATTCTAGAGTAGATATTTACTTCCAGACTTGAAGCCAGTACTTTTTGCTTTAAATACCCAAAAAGTTATCCACTTATCTACGGAGTTCAGTCATTCACTCGTTTGTATAACGGGTATAAATTTTGATTTCATTAGTAATGGTTCAAACGAAACACGTGTCCTGTATTCTACTATCAGTTGTATTCTATATATTCTATGTAAACTTGTGTTAATAGCTGTATGGAAGGAATCCACACATAATACACATATGGTAACTAAGACTGATCCGAATTTAATCAACCATATCAATAACGGGATTATCTATATCTTTGCAAACTGTTCATCATTGAGTTTTTGTTCAATTCGCACATTATTTCGTTCTTGTGCATTCAGACATTTCGAATGTAGACATTTGATAAATAATTTTATAGTTGAAAGTATGAGTCAATTGAAGCTAGACCACCAAGGAAAACCTGCAAGCACTGGACGACCGTATCGTCCTATTGTGGGACTCCTCAGTAGTGCGTATCCACGACCTCGCCTCGCGAGATTCGAATCCAGGACCCATTAGTCTCGCGCCAGAGCACTTAGCCGATAGACCACTGAGCCGGCATCCGATGGTGTTAATGTCCTGTTTATACATCACAATAACTAAATAATTAATATATTTGAATCTGAACAAAAGTTAGCTAAAAAATTTCTCCTTCAGTAAACTTAGTCAATATCTAACTAGACATCTATGCGCGTGAATTAGTTTAGAAGGATAATATTTATCATGTTTCAAATAGAATTTTTGTTCCGTATGACACTTTTTATCGAACAGAAGAAACAGGAATCAGGATATTAATAATAAATATGTTTTTCTTAGATCCCCATGGGTAGGAGAAAAATATCTAGCGTTTCTTAATTGTATGCCTACTTTTTTTCATTAGGAGATGAATGCGTCGAGATGGCTAAATCATATGAAAATATATGGATAATTTAAGAGGGGCTATGTTCTAATGCATGGTAGTCATTAGGCTGGGTATCATAATATCTTAGTTTCATGTTATCTGTATAACAAATTAAAATCCACCTTTTTCCAAGACGTACTTGTCCCTATTCACATTTCTAGAATTCACTTAGTGTGAATTCATCGGTCACACTTTACTACTAACCATGAGCTCATATTATCCTTCAAATAAAGTGGATAGGACAAACGTCTCCGATCTCAAGCAGGTTATTATTTAGCAATGCATATAGTTGTCTGGACAATGACTTTATTCACACCTGTCTAGTAAAAAGAAATTAAAATGTCCAACGCCCACACAATTTCCAATTCACAAAGAAGGAGGCGGGATATGAGTTTATTATTATTAGTTGTCGAACAAACACAAATAAATGAGAGTCTGCCTGACATTATTTAATAATGAAGGTAGACATTTAATATGTGTCGTTAAAAATTAACCAATCAGAATGTTCATTCGCACGTGTGATTAGGTCAAGAACTAAATTAGAATTGGTCAAATGAACCCATTAACAAATATAAAATTATCTGATTTGTGGTATAAATATGTCTAAGTAAGCAATATGCAACTTCTATAAAAAATGTTTCCTGATAAACGATTGGATCATGAGTTCAATTTTAAGCACATTTTTAATAGGTTCAATTATTTGGTTGTTCATATTTCAACTGATTAAATATTTCTAGTACATATTTATAAGGACATCATTCGAAAAATGAACTTTTGTCGTAGTATATTTCCTTAGACTAATGGTGGATTTTTGTTGCATTTAATTCATTTTATCCCGGATTAAAAATGGCACAAGTTGGTAGCCTAAATAATAATCCTTTCTCGTTTAATCATAACCATAATCTTAATCATGGTAATTCTAATTCATTATCACAAATATTTCATCTACAACTTCCTGAGTTAATTACTTCAACACAAATAAGTCGGTCAGCTGCATCCAGTGCATGTCCATCTGATGATTCTGGAATTGAGAGAACTTTGAATTTAAGTCCATCGTCCCCTTTTCCTGAAGATACCGATTCAGATGATGCTCAATCATTTATCAGTTTTGATGTCAGGCGTTCAACCAGTCAGTTGCAGATGCCTCACCATCCTATGAAACTGGGCCCTTGTCATTTCGGCTCTGCTGTTAATTACGTTGAGTCGGCTAGACTTTCGCCTCCAGGGACTTGTGCGGCAGTGGTCGAAGATAACTACTATCCTATAGCAAGTCCTAGATCAAATAAACCTAAAGTTAAAAGTGGGAATCGTTTTCAAATCTTATCATATGAACGAGTGACTAGGTTGCACTACGTTTTGTCGAAAACCATTCCGATCCACAGCAGATACCCAGGATTTCCAACTATTACGGTCAAACTCCATGATTTGCTTAGGGAAGTTCGAGGAAATCTTAAAGCAGCTGGGATTCCTATTCGAAATATTCGCCTGAATGGTGGTGCTGCTTCATATATTATTGGTAAGCATAGAACGTGTTAATTTGTGCTAGCCATTTCACTGAAATTATGCAAACACATTGTCATTGTTAATTAAAAGTTAATATTTCCATGTAACTTCATCTATGATATAACGTTCTTGCTGAACATTTCAGTGTTAGTAATGAGGTAGCATTTGGTTTATTTTCTAATATTTTCTGGTAAATCATTGGGATATTGATTGATTATTTGAAATTATTTGTACATTTACTTCCGATATCATGGCCAGCCTACTAAACTGTAGTACATTTATGTGTAATTTATTCTAAGCCTCTACGACTTACCATTCTTCAAAAACTAGTTTGACAGAAGAACCGTGGTTACCAAGCCAATCTGCCAAGTCACTTCAGGTTGTCCTCAGTCATGTATATAAATATAGGTCTAACAGAATTCTACAGAATTTCAGGAAATAATAGTTAGTAATACTGGGTAACGTAGTTGGAAATTGATCATTGACTGGATTATATTTTAATTTTCTTATATCTCGGAGATAGTTTGGAGATTTTTTCTCAAGAGTTTTTCTGACACTTTCGGATTGTTCGCTTTATTGATGATTGGGAACTGAAAATAAACATACCTGTACGAGGATGGACTTAATTATGCTCTGGTGTTTGGTCACTCACATCTGGTAAATGGATTAGTATTGCCTATTAGTAATAATCGTAGAAGCAATATTAAAACTCATTAGAGAATGGACATTTCAATATTTTTTGCTGTAGCAAATCGGTTTCGAGATTGCTGACTTTCGTACGGCGATCGGGTTATAAAACAGCGAGTTGTAGTGTACTTGTTCCTGGTTAACTGTTACTGATGATGCTAACCAAATAAATCCCATAATTCTAGCTTTCTGAAAAACTTTATACTCTGAATTGTGTAAAGTTTCCCTTTGATAATTATACATTTTTAGGCATAAATGATTTTTTATCGTATTTTTTGTGTTCCAGTCTGCTTTTCACCTTGACATTCATTCACCATGTTTTCTGACAGAATAAATCAGACAATGTTTCCCGTTGGCTTTTACGTTGTGTGATTAAGTTTTATTCACTGGTGGAAAGGTATTACTGATTTATTGATTACAGTCATCTGGTTGTAATAAACATCTTACCTGTCACAAATGTACGTTGCACCATGTTAACATGCCGCATTATCAGGATAAGATGAAATTAAGAAGGTGAATAGTAAGGGAGTCGAAATAATATAATAGTAATAAGATTAAGAATGTCTAAACATTATGAATACGGTTTGAAAAAAAGGAATGAGTAATTTTATGTGGAGTAGTATAGGTCGAGACGTAGGGGAAGATTAAGTGAATGGTTGGACACCATCGTAACAATTCTAAGTCTTGTCACCTAATGTCTTTATCCTCTGGTCGGAATTGTGGTGCAAACTCCAATCATGTGGTTTAAATCTTCATGATATTTTGTCATATTTTGCTGTTTCCTCCCTCGACTTCCTTTCAACTTATCCTTACTCCGGTTGACATCACGCATCGAAGTAGGTGGTTAAGCGTAAGTAACACATGTCCGAAGCACCACAGTGTTGAAGAATTAAAATGTTAGCCTGACGAACATCTAGAAGTTACATTTTGTGTTGAGCTTTCGGTTTGATTATATGGAGTAAGAAATTGAAAATTTTTTCAAATTATAACCCGATGAGTTCCTGTAGGCATACACCGTAGGTCATTGCGGTAGCATTTAAACGCATATAAAGTCATCTTATTTTTTACGTTGATAAGACTTATAAGTTAAAGCATGACATCGATAACAACAGAACATCAGATTTATGTATTCTCACAAGACTCTCATATTCTATATGAATCCAACTAGTAGTAATGGTTGCATTGTCCACTTCCCTGAATTACGATCCAAATATATATATATCATATTTATGGTAAAAAAAACAAATCCAATAATTGTGCTTTGTGTTTCGCCTGCATAACTCGATTAATGTACAAAGCTTCAATGATAAACAACAGATTCATTATACACGTATGACGGCTCGAGCGTTATTGAGATTCATTAGTACTTGTGACCATACATTTTTGTAATTATATGGCACGAAATTGACATGATGTACAGTAAGCTTGAATAATGATCCCATAATGCCACTTAATAACGGTTATTTGTTTGCGTGAACAGCTTACGTCTTTCTGGTAGACCGACCATATAACTAGTGAATAAATGAAAATAATTTTCCAAATATGAAATTTTTAGCATCCATTCTACTGCTATTCACTATTAAATTGATCTAGACTGAAAAAGGTTGTAAAACTTAAACTGAAAAGATGAGTGTGATGTTTGGCATTAATGTTGGTCATTGTAAATTTGGTTGGTTAGTTATTAATCCTTGAACATACGTACGCGACTTGTTGGTTAAACGACATGGGTTTTCACAATTTAATAATTTTCATGTAAAAATATCTATATTTCATTTCGTAGAAGAAAAAAAATAAAATGAAATTTGGTCAATATCGAATATTTTTAAATCCCTCATGAGTAATCTTTTTTGAATGAAAGACTATCATAAATACCAATGAGAAAGTGCGATTTCACTGAATAACATAGCTCTCGTACACAATTCATGCTCTATATGTGATATTTTAATTGTATCCTCTGTAATATTAAGTAGCGTAATTATTTTTCAAAGTTGAAATCATGAGTCAATTGAAGCTAGACGACCATGGAAAACCTGAAAGCACTGGACGGCCGTCTCGTCCTATTATGGTACTCAGTAGTGCGCATCTACGATCCCGCACTCGCGAGATTCTAAACGGCCGTTCAGTGCTTCCAGATTTTCCATGGTGGTCTAGCTTCAATTGACTCATGATTTCAACTTTGAAAAATACTGAAATCTCCACAAAACCCCTTCTGACTAGCGTAATTATATTCTTTTCACCTAATTTATAACAAATTTTATAATCGACAATTTGTACTTTAGTTGTATCAACCATTGTTGGTCAGTCGACAAAAATTATTCTGGGAAATTTAATAGTTTTTCAGCAAAAAAGAGCATTCACGAAGATTAATACAGTGAAGTGATAAAACAAAATTTATACTTTTGTTCCTAGAGCACCACAAATTTCCTCTAAACTAATTAACGGGATATCATGGTGCAATGTAGTTTTTTTTATTTTTTTTATTTTATTTAAACACATAAATATTGGTACAAGGAAGCGCCAGATATATATGCGTCACACAAATCTCATTCGATTTGTGTGAGGGCTGTAATACTACCCAGGTGACCAAACGGAAGCAGGTGGTTTTCTTAGGGGGCCACACCCGGAGCCTTTGACCCAAAGATCTGATCCGTAAGGCAGTGGAGCATCGTGTGGAGATGCAGTGCCACGGTAGCCGGTGACCAACGATTGATTCATACGCCATTTGTTCCCTCAGGATACTGGAGTCCATATGCACCATTGGTTTGGAATCAGGGTTTTCCAACTCCCTTAGGTGAACTTTCCGTATCCACCGAGCCGGTTAAAGCGCCAGACATTCGCTTTCCGTTCTCTCAATTTCGTAAACAACATCCGTGGTGCGAGAAGGCAGTGAGTAGGACTTTCGTGGCAGAGGCATGGCCATGTGAGAGCATTTGGAGAGGGAGAGCGGACTCTCTCCACTCTCGGCCGTACCAGGGCATTTGGGGGCGGTGCAATGTAGTAATATTACGTGTTAACAAATAGTCATTCGATTAGAGTGAATACAAATTGTCTGCCTACTGAGATTAGGTAACTTCGTTTTGCTAACTCTTAAAAACCTACCAGCCATTCTTGTGAGGTCATGTGAAAGGAAATTCTTTGATGACGATACATGCTGATGTAGAATTATTCTCTATTTTTTCTGAAAATTAAAATAATATTTTACTGAACCAATCTGTCGTTTCTGTAGTTTTGTGGTGAATATTCATACCTTCAAGTTATCTCTTTCATTGCAGACAAAATTTTTTTCAGAACAGTTGTTTCAGTATCTTTTTCTAAATTTATAATTTTACCAATAGATCGAAATGGCTATAAATTCTTGATATATTTACTCTTTTCTCCACTTTCCGCCACCGTTTTTTACTCCTAACTTATTGCGGTGCTTTTTTGATCTCCACGTAACATTGTTTTTTGGTGTCCTCACATTAACTTGTTACCACAGTTACTTGGTAATGAATTATTGATATTTGTTGTCAACTTTTCTTCACAACTGACCCTTTTCACGTCCCTTTATCATCTCACACCACTATGGCGAACGTTATTCCTGGTCTCGTAAAACCACTCTCTAAACTACATATGGGAACTTTTAACGTCCGAACATTGTGCCAAATAGGACAACAGACTTCCTTAGCTAGGACATTAGAGATGTTCGTCAGGGCTGTCTACTCTCTCCATTCTTGTTTAACTTTATCGTAGACGTTCTTTTAGAAATAACACTTTCCTCATCCAAATTTGAACTTCTACCAGGAGACTCACTTGTTGACTTTGAATATGCCGATGACATAGTTCTATTTGGTGAAGACGCTGACAAAATTCAGTCTTCTGACCACTATAAGCAACTATGCAGGCATGTTCGGGATGCGATTCTCCCCCCACCCCGAAATGTAAAATGTTACTTCAGGATTGGTTTACATCGACACCTGAACTAATGATAGGGAGTGAAGTAGTTGAGCGTGTCGACCGCTTCACTTATCTTGAGAGTCTCATCAGCCCTTGTGGTCTGGTGTGTGATGAGATCTGAGCTCGCATACAGAAGGCTCTTCCAGCTTTTGCCAACTTGCGTCATTTATGGCGTAGGCGAGATATCCGTCTAGCAACCAAAGGATGGGTTTACTGCGCAGCAGTTCGTTCCGTCCTATTTTATGGCAGTGAGACATAGCTGGTAAGAGTAAAGGATATTCGTAGGCCGCTGGTATTTAATCATAGGTGTCTTCGAAGCATTGCTCGTATATCCTGGAACCACCGAGTAAGTAATGCAGTTGTTAGGAAACGGGTACTATGTTAGGATGGCAGATCGATTGATGAAGTAGTGAAACTTCATCAGTTGAGATGACTGGGACATGTGTTACGTATGCCAAAACACCGACTGCCCCGATGTGCGATGTTTTATGGTGTAGGAGTAGGTTGGAAGAAAGCTATGGGCGGCCAGACCAAAAAGTGGTACAAGTGCATGAAGTCACTGACAAGTGGACTGAGCCATGTTGGTAGGTGTAGACAACCTATTTGGGATCCGCGAGATGGTTAGAGACCTTGAATGACATGGCTCAAAATCGTTTGCAATGGCGCAGGTGCATCCACTCTTTGTGTTCTCGCAAATTCTAATCTTCTGAATTCTTCATGTCTCTATCCAATTGTCTTTTCAAATTTATTTCACTGGAATATACTCCTGTAATAACATCTTCAAACCCTAATCTTTCGGATTACTGCTTATACTGTTACTACTTCTACCACTATGGGATTTGAATCGACAACTGCATCTCTGTGCTGATGTGGTATGACAACTGGAACTGATGTACATACGTACGAAGTTTTACGTTGTGACTGACTGACTGATTGTCAAATTTTGTGAAAAGTTGGCCATTCCACATGGGAAAGGTAACGATTCGTTAGTCCTCAGGCCATCATTAGTCCTGCACATAAATATGTTGTCTTTGATAGCAATTTTATGTTTCTTCACATACACCTGTAACAGTCAGTAGAGTAGAGCTGCGGTATAGTTTTTGTGGTGTTAATTGTTTAGAAATGAAGTATTTAGTTAGCTTTTCTATACACTAATTTACAGCTCACCTGACATTAGTATTCATTAATTGCTCATATAGTAACTAGAAAAATAACTGTATGGAAAATCTGTGAAGTGGTGAACAGTAAGATTAGATGCCGAGTACTGGTAAGGATGGCAAGTCGATTCATATATTTGAGAGCATTCAACGATTGGTACAGCTAAGACGTATACTTTGCATGCCCAGCCACCACCTGCTCGACTGTGCAGTGGTCAACAACATAGGGGTAAATCAAAAAGTATCATATTTGTGACCTTATCAAAATGTGACATCAGTCTGTTGATTCAAGCTCTGTGTCGTTAAGTTCAGATTGCTAATTTGGGGCTTGGCGTAATAACCGTTGCCCGAAATCGGAGATTTTGTATGACTTGGCTCAAATTCGGTCAGTAACCAGGGCACATCTATCTTTTGTCTTTCTCTGTACCTTTTATTCGATCGTTTTATTTGTTAATTCTGAACCGTATTTACTATATTTGGTTTGCCACTATAGTCAGTTTTGTTACTTCTGCTGCTCTCTTCTAGGTTATTCCCTCTCTTTGTTAATACAATATAAGTTGAACGGATAAATATTCCTCCCTGGTCCTTTTTCTACTACTGACAATAAGCTTGGGAACTATCCAGTCATTTACTTATAGGAAATGTTGGCCACATTCTCAAAGTGTGAACTCGCATGTAGGGGGAAGTTTACTTCAAAACATGTATTGCATTTACATAATGAATGTAATGACATGAGATTCATGTCCCACTCATACTTTTCAGTCGTCATAGATGTGTTAATTTAGTCATCTGTTAGTAGCGAACACTTAATCGTCAGAACTTTGTTCTTTTTTCCTTCTGCATTCATGATTTTTACTGTCATAATCGTTCTATTACATAGGTTAGATGAGGAGTTTCAATCTTTCTGCTTAAGATTTTTTATTCACAACTTCCAGGTGATAACATCAAAATTGTTAATCTCACACACTGAGTGTATAGTTCTATATTTTTTTTCTTGTATATGGACTTCGATGAGTGTTTAGTCGGGTGACATTGTAATGCTTTATTGAATTAAGTATGGAACAATAAATGAAGCATTTCAGTTGAACTCAGTCTTATATTGGAGCGATAGTTAACACTAGACGACTGTACAAACTCATTCAGGAAGCATGTATTGAAAATTCGGTTATTAGCTGGACTATTTCGGAAAAAGACGGAACTATCGTTCATTCTCAGTCAAGATGATTTTAGAAACGGGTGAAACTTTGAGAAACAGATCAACTGGCCTTCAGTTATCCACTATTTTCAAGTCCTCGGAACTTGTATTGCAGTTGTGCAAAGAGTTACCACGACATGGTAGGTTAACTTAAGGATGATGGTTCCATTTTAACAGTTAAGCTGACTGAATTGCTAGTTAGAGTCTAGGAGCTGGAATTAATCCAATCTCACTGGTTTTTACCATCACTCATCTCAATTTGTAAGAAAATTCCTTTTATGCTAATCTAAGAGGAGTCAATTTGAGTAACTAAAACATGCGCTTCTGTAGATATAATCAATGACTAAAGCTCACAAGTATCAAGCTGGCTACGACAAAGCTGCTTTCAGATAATGCATTGGATGTATCTATCGTTAGGTTTTGTTGCATACGCATCATTACCGACAACCCAATATGGTTGTGTTCCTTGATTTTGAGCCAGCATTGAAATCTGTCGGCCAAGGAGTTTTGTGGGAAGAATAAGTGAGCATCCCCGCAACATAGTTATGTAGTCACTTTGATTCTAGATTGCTTCTCCTCATTATGGGTTTGGGGAGATTATTGGATGTAATCGAGATCACGGATCGATCCAAATTAGATAATCATTTTGAACGTGGATGCACTGGATGGCCATTTTGTTTTATTATGGAACTCCTCTGTAGTGCACATACACGATCCACAAACGGAAATCGAGCATAGGACCTTCTAGACTTGCGCACGAACGCTTGATCTCTAGACCTCAAAGCTGGCATCCAACGGTGTTAGTGTATAACTTCAATCCATACACGAAATCGCACTACCATCTTCCATTGTCTTTGATGAGTAATTACCTCACACCCGACTCAGTCAGACTCGATTGGTCACATCTCACTAAAACTTTGGAAATTTCCTTTTGAAACTAGTTATTAGTAAACATATAATAATTGGCATCACGTATCTGTGGAGATCACTTATTGGTTACCCTTTTGTCCGAATATAAATTTCTGGTCAGTTTCAAGAGCACAATCCACATGTACGTTGTTGGTCATAACATTATTGCTTAAGGATAAGAGAACCATATGTTTACATTTTCTATAATTAGTATAGTGCTTCAATGGTTCAATAAAAGCATTCTATTTTTTACTTAAGCTACAATACGTTAGCTCGAATTATAGTTCAATTCGTAATAGAGTTTTTAAAACTTATCATTGAAATTGACCAACCTATAATTCGAGTTATAATAATTGTTATTTGCTTTGTCAGATTAATTCTACGATAATTTAACTTTTCGTTCTATCCAGGACAAGAAGATTATCCCGTCTATAATGATATAGATGTTTTGGTCTCTGTTGATTTAAGTTCAAATAGTTCAACAATTCAAAAAGTGAAATCAGCTGTGTTGGATGCGTTGATAAGTTTCTTGCCAGAAGACAGAATGGTAGAAACCTCTCAGCAGTATAATATTCCCAGTCAACGTCAAATTAACTCTCAATTCCAATCAATACCTGAAGCATGTTGTGATCTCCAGTCTGACGATAATGTTCCAACAGTACCAGGAAGTAGTCAAGGAATGTTACCTAACAGTCCACCTGTAAGAACTAAAAGTCATTTCAGTTCTACGGAGTTGAGGTATATTGATAATGTGAAAGTGAACAATATTATGAATTTGAATTCTACTGAATCAGAATTTGATAAAACTGTTGAACTTAAACTCATGGACGATATCACACAGAACCAATGTAGTGTTCAGATGCTTGGTGTCTCACGTTCCAACATTGTTGAGTGTTCTTGTGAAAGGCAACCGAATGTTCCTAAACCGATATCTTTCTCTCCTTCATCCTTTATATATCATGGGCAGCAATCTATCTACAATACTCATTCCCCATACAACACTCTTAATGTAAACGCTATGAACAGTATTCAGAGTTCTGCTTCTACTCCAAATGGTTCTAGCCATTCAGATGGATTTAGTTTACGCGAGTCGTATGTGTACAAACAATTCCGTAAATTTAGTCAAGATGATGATTGTTGGTCACTTTTATCCCTTGGTTTTCCTTCTTCCGATTCAAAAGTAATTGAATTCAAATTTGTTGATCGTATGAAACGTCAGTTTGAATTCACCGTTGATAGTTTTCAAATTGTTTTAGACCCTTTGTTAACATTTTATGAGTCCAATTCAGGAAAATGCATAACTCCACACTTTTATCCAACAATTGTTGCTGAATCAGTATCTGGATCGTTTTCAGAAGCACTTTATCACTTGGAGAATAAATTAATTGCAACCACTGAACCAGAAATGATTCGTGGAGGTGGTCTTTTGAAATACTGTCGACTTCTAGTTAGTGGATATAAACCTGCTGAAGGAGTTGACGTATATACACTTGAAAAATACATGAGTTCTAGATTTTTTATTGATTTTCAAGATTTATCCAGTCAAAAAGTTAAATTAGAAGCTTTTTTAGCGAATCATTTTGCAGATCATGAAATTTCTTCAAAAATCAATTATTTACGCATTTTATATGAAGTTGTAAGTGGTTCCACCATATGTCTTATGTCTCATGAACATTTTCAAACTTTAAATCTTATTGGAGAATTGTTACGTTATCTTATCTATTATTATTATTACTATTTTAATCGTTCCTCTTTAAGTTTGGAATGGTTCGCTGAAAAACAAAATCTTGTTCTAGATAAAATTTATTTTGGTACACAACTTTTTCCTGTAATTTCAAGAAGTGAATCTTATTCAAAAAATTGTTTTTGTTTTTATAAGCATAATAAATCATCATCTGATCTTTCTATGATTCCTTTGAATGTTGCAAAATTTTCATCAACCAATTCTAATTGTAATTCTACTGAAATCTCTTCATCAACAAAGTCTACATTGGACACAGATAATAATCCTATTAGTGATAACATTATAAAAGAAAAAACAAGTGAATTGAAATCGGAATTACATACAGAGTGTGACAAGTCATCGTCAACTGATTGATTAACTGTATGGGACTATACTGTTTAAAAGGAGCTTCAAAGAAACTGTGTTTATATACTACATTGAAATTGTTCTATTCTATACAAACTGTTGTTGTCTACATACTGTTTTGCTTGTTGATGTGTTCATGTATATGTGTAGGTTCACATTGATGTATGCTTTCATCAATTACAGAGTAATTTTGTATCATTTTCTTTTATTTTACTGTTTGTTCCGTCTTATTCACATATTGTCTGTCGATAGAATACATAAACATACTTGGTTTCGAACTCATTCATACAATAATACGCATTTACTGATTGTACACATATATGTGATAAAAATGCAAGTAATGTAATCAGTTTGATTACCATAGATTATAATTGTTATAATACGAAATTTAATTCCACGAAATAATGAATTTATTGGTGGAAATAATGTTTATCAAAGCCATGATTCATTGCAAACAAGAAAGAAAAAGGAATAACATGGAGAAATAATACTGGAAAACAAAAAAAATCAACCCGGTGATGGGTGTACTGTAATTATTTGTCTCTATAAGTTTGTTTGTGTATTTCTATTTGACATTACCGAATTGTATTAATCCCTATTTACATCCTCCTTATGTTCTTTTTCTTTTGTCTTTCATCATTGCTCCTATATTGGATCTTTTTTTCCTGTACATAAAACTTTGTGGTTGCATGGGTCTGTGTATTTATGTTTAATATTCAATATTACAAATAAAAACGGATGTGTTGTGAATGGGAAATTCTTGTTCGCACACACATACCGCTCTCAGTATCTGTCACAAATTTCCAGTCTGTTTGTATTAAGCTCTGTTTTCTTCCTGAAAGCTCATCTACTTCAGTAACGAATACTTTTTTAGTCATTATTTTTTTACAGTCACGAAGATCGTCAATTAATTCTTATGAATATGTATATTCACCCTTGAAATATGACTGGTTTTTGTTCTTTCTTTCACATTTTCTGTCACCTGCTTATTATCAGTATTCCAGACTAATTGAAAAGAACTATTCAATTTCCGTCTTTAATCAATAAAGACATCAACTCTGAGTCGCTTCATGTAATAATAATGTATGAACATTGATAAGCATTCAAGAATTTCCTTAGTCATGTATTATAGTTAAAATGCATCTGTTGTTGTTTCATGGTTGGTCTAGTTCATCGTCTTGTTCGTAATAATTATTTCGTACATTCAGTGTGCCCTTCCTCTACCTTTTTACATCCATGTAAGTATTAATTTCCAGTGGATATCTTATCAAGAGAAAAGTTATTTTAACGGTGACATCTCTAAACATGAATGTCCGTGCAAAATGATGCAGCTGTTCTCTCCACATATGTGGATTGTACACATCAAAAACATTCATTTGCTTCAACTGGTTCCTGAAACTATTACTACTATAATTACCATTATTATTACTATTTATTACATAACACATTGTTTTCTGTTTGTAATTTGTCTATGATCTATTTTGTCCTTGTGGTGGTTATCATTCTAAATCAATCAATCGATCAACAACAACAAAAAACAAACAAACATTACACAAGAAAACATTCATATTTGTATTTGTCTATTGTTTATTTTTGTGTGTGTATGTGTTTGTGGTTGATATTTCCAGTTATTGTCAAAATAATAATAATTATTATTGTTACTACTTCTGTTAATCTACCATCACTACTACGACTATTTTGAGTACATCAGATTCTTTGATACTTATCATCGATATTATTTGGAAAAAAATAAAGTGATCTATTTGGTTATTTTCCGAAATAAATACATTCTCCTGTAAATAGTAAATAATTCGAGGTCATGATGATCATGGCGTGTTGATTATGGTGTTTATTTTGTTTCGTGGAATTCTCGATTAGTTAAGACTGATAGGTCCTGTGTTCAAATCTCATGAGTGGGGAATCGTGGATGCGCACTGATGAGAAGTCCCACAATAAGACGAAACGGCCGTCCAATACTTCCAGGTTTCCCATGCTGGTCTAGCTTCAATTGACTCATGATATCAACTGTATAGTCTTGATTAGTCAAAAAAGCATTCATACTTTCAGGATACCTAACTATCTAATCCCTTAAGCAATAATGTGTTCTGTTAATGTACAAAGATTATACCATATTTCATATTGCTTATTTATTAAGATTTGATACTGTTCTCTTTAATTCGACTCAATATTTTAGTCTTCTAGGTAGTATTTTACAAAACGTGACAACATTTATTATGGTGTCTTGTTGGTCCACTTTTATCAATTATTTAAAGTTTGTAGAATGCCTTTGTTTGGTGATGGTAATTTCCAGTACTAAATTCAATCCCAGAGTGAACATCAACTCTGAGATGCAGGTACATCCAGCTGACGAGTCCCAAATAGGACGAAACGCGCGTCCTGGATTCCACTGCTAGCCACTATCCATCTCTGCTAACCAATTTCCAGTACTGTTTTTTTAATAACGAAGGCATGAAATCTATTCGCTAACTAAGCTTCCTCCATTTGTCCGGCGTTGTGTCTGACCGCCAAGTGAATTTGAGACGTCTAAGTGGTTTAATCTTTCTGTAGTTATCCATCTAGGTGTTTTTGTTGCATTCCGATCCCATCCAGTAGTAACATTTATTGTTTATTTGTTTCTACTGTCGGGTTATCTTCATTTGCTGTCTTTTCTTCCTGTTAGTTGCTACTACTTGGTAGTTGATGGTACTAGAAAAGCAACCACTGTTATACGTTCGTCTACTTTATTTTTAAATATACATCAATTTCCTTACTAACCATGTTCGTCGCTCAATTTGATCAAATCATTTTCTATCGGGTTTTATATTTCGGTGGGACCAATACTTAATATCATCGAAACTACAGTTAATAGATGTTCACTAAATTTTGACAAACTATTCACTTAAACAGACCGTAAATTATTACAAACTTCTATTCTATAGAGCTGCATCGACTTCTCATTTATCTAGAAATAGTTAAAAAGTTTCGTGACATTTTATGGAGTCGCTTCAGTTGGTATTGTCTATTCAGTATGCTGTTAAAATGACATTAAAACTGCGATTTCAGATTGACGAAAAAGTGTTATTCCATGAAATGAAATCATCACCCTAAATTTTATTCGTAGAACAAACAGATTTAAGTGCTACAGTGTTGATGTGTAGATAGTTCTTACTTTTTAACTGCAATCTTGAAGTCATTGAGATTTCTGAATGAATTATTTGTCTATCTATCTTTAAATTATCAAATAACGGACAAGACATTAATATTTTGAGACCAGTTTTTCTCTTTCCTCTAAGGAACGTGATATATATTTTGACAAACTTTACTTCTCATATTAGTAGAATCAAAAGCTCATCGCCAGCTGTTCACAATATAATATTAGATACTTTTTGTTTTAACAGTTGACCCTTTTCATATGACAATATTTAATGGGACGAACCTATCGGATCCAATGTGAATTATTTTGTTTAACTGACTATGAAAGCTTTAGATATCTTAATTGTCATCAAGTAAATACCAAACCATGAATATTCGATGTGAAGTGTAAGATTTGAATTATCTCGTTGTTGATATCTTGACTAAATCTTTTATCAGTCTTAGTTGTTATATGTGCGTTCTATGCAGATTGCCTCGATATAACCGTGATTACACAGTTTGATATAGAATGAATGGAATATGACTAGTAGTAGGATCCGGGATGCTCATTTCGTTTGATTTGTAACTTATCGACTGGATTTACCTTTGTTTATCGTACACACTTCAAGCCACTGTCTACAATAGTTATGATAATATTAATTGCTTTTCTATTCATTGGTATTTAATCAATCGTTTGGTAGATACACACTATATGCCTGTATCACTATCGAATAAGCATATTTCAATTATTACGTCAAGTCTAAATTAAAGCGAATTAATACTGAAGTGTTCATTAGTTGGGTGGTTTGTTAGTTTTAGATTTAAAATGAATCTATTCACATTTAATTTATCCCGCATAAAAGTGTGTCCAATTCGATTTAGCAATTCAATGAATGTAAAATGATGACGATAACAGATTTTGTGACGTCAAAATCACTCAAAACTATGGTTGGTTATTAAACAAATTGTTATTGGTGTTATTACACTTAGTTGAATTGTGTATACTAAGTCAAAAATTGAATGACTATGAAGTTCATATGTATAATTGTATTCATTTCATTCAAAAATACTAAATTTACAGTCAAATTTCATTGAAATCATCAACCGATCTTAGTTAGAGCATCACTGAGAACCTGGAAGCATTGGACTGCCGTTTCGTCTTCGTGTAGATCTCCTCAGCAGTGCACATTCATGATACCGCATGCGGAGATCAAACCCAGGACCTTCAGTCTCTGATGGCAATACTTATTATCTAGACTACTAAGCCAGCATTCAACAGTGTTTAATGTCTAACTTCAATCAGTCGACGTCTAACTTATATAAGTTTATGATATCAATGAAATCCAACAATCTCCACAACCCATTACTGACAATTTTCAGTTAAATTATGACAATTTATTCATTTGAAATCAGCTAATTCATTTTGATAAATTTGGGTAATGCAATAAAATGTTCATCATAGCTACAAAAATTCAAGTTTACATGTAGGTGTTTAAAAAAATAGTTTGTTCCCACCTTGAACCTACTCATAATATTGGCTTATTTTATCCAGCTTGATATGATTCACATGGTCTCCAGTAAGAGTTTGGTATACTGACGAACTTAAAACAACTGCGAAGAATCTCCAGCCAATCAGAAGAGTTTCTGTAAGTAGTTGGTTTATGGGAAAAGAAACAATGATATTAATAAATGTAAACAGATTTTACCTATTTAATTTATCTTTCAGTTTTATACATATTTCTTTCTTTATAAATTGTAAAGATACTGAGTTATAAACCTATCCGTCTTCTCGATGCCTTATATGTACCCAAACAGACTTATAATAGTCTCTACAATGTTCTTAGTTAGGTTTAGGTTCAAGGGTTTTCATCACGAACTAATATCAGTCAGAATGCGAAACTGCTTTGAAGCCGTAGTGTTGGATAAATTCTATGCAGAAGTAAAAGAAACACTGTCTGATTAGTTCGTCCACAAAACATAGTACCACCAGGTTATGGAATGTTGCAGGAAATAAAATGTCAGATTCTTTCATTTGAGGTGTTGTCATGCCCTATTTATTGATCGAACAAAAAGTTCACTTATTATTATTTATTATTTAAACACATAAAGATTGGTACAAGGAAGCACCAGATATATATGCGCCACACAAATCTCATTCGATTTGTGTGCGGGCTGTGATACTGCCCGAGTGCCTGAACTGAAGCAGGTGGTTTTCTTGGGGGGACATACCTGGAGCCTTTGACCTAAATGTCTGATCTACAAAGCAGTGGAGCATCGTAAGGGGATGCAGTCCCATGGTAGCCGGTGACCAACGGTTGATTCATACGCCATTTGTTCCTTCAGGATACTGGAGCCCATGTGCACCATTGGTTTGGAATCAGGGTTTTCCAACTCCCCTAGATGAACTTTCCGTATCCACCAACCCGGTTAAAGCGCCAGACATTCGCTTTTCGTCCTCTCAGTTTCGTGAACAACACCCCCGCCACTAAAAGACAGTGAATAGGACTTCTCTGACAGAGGCTATATACGCGTGTCCATGTGAGAGCATTTGGAGAGGGAGAGCGAACTCTGCCTACTCTCGGCCATACCAGGGCATTTGGGGGCAATGCCAAAGCCGTGCACCGGCCGGGAGTTCACTGTTGATTACATAAATGTTACTTTATTAAGGAAATCATTGCAACTATGTAACATTTGCCAGCGTTATCCAATTAGGAATTTTTTTTCATATTTTAGTATTTTTTAAATAATAATAATTCGAAAATTGTATATACCTTGTTCATACATGTAAGTTGACCTAGAAAGTTGACATTCATGTTTTAAAAGTATCCAAAGGGTGAAATACTGTCACCTGTTTGAATTGTATATACATATGTATATATCACCTAAGGATTATTTTCAAGCCTGTCAACAATCATTAAGAATTAATTTCATTCTTTAAAATTAACCCTTTTAAAGTTGGTTAAGAAGTTAAACTCTGAAATAGGACATTTAACAACATGATTGTAATAAAATATTATTACTAGTTCCTTATTCACCTTTTCTCATTTGTATTTTTTTAAGGTTAACGTTTAAAATACTCTAACTATAAACTCCACTATATGTTTTTCATAGTTGAAATCATGAGTTAATTGAAGATATAGCACCATCGAAAACCTGGAAGCACTGGGCGGCCGTTTCGTCCTATTATGGGACTCCTCAGCAGTACGCATCCACGATCCCGCACTCACGAGATTCAAATCCAGGACCTACCAGTCTCGCACCAGAGCACTTAACCGATAGACCGATATAAGTGAATTAATGTTCATTTCATTGCATAAGCCAATTATTATTTGAACTGAGCAATTAAGTAGATAACATGATGGCTTTTGAAGAGAACGGTGTTGGGTTCAAGTCCTACAGTGAACATCAACTCTGAGATGAAGGTACATCCAATTGATGAATCCCAACTAGAACAAAACGGGCATCTTTGATTCCATTGCTAGCTACCATCCAATACTGTTTATAATGATTGCGAATTAATGGTAATAATGGGGCAATCCGCAGAAGATCCATATATATATATATATATATATATATATATATTTGTGTCATCCATGACCTTATCATCTTAACCAAGGTGTTTGAGTAACCTCATTACATGAGCATGAAAAAACATTCATACACCGTATTTATCGCAGATTCACAACATATCAC